TCCTCAGCAATGCCTCCCCCTCATCGGGGAGCTAGGGAGAGCAGGCAGCGACCCAGCTGCACCCAGCTGCACGCTTTTCCTCTCTGAGGGTCCCTTCTCTGTTTGCTAGGCCAGGCCCCACTCTCAGGGCCCCCGGGGGCAACCATGCCGGCCGGGGGCCGGGCTGGGAGCCTGAAGGACCCTGATGTGGCTGAGCTCTTCTTCAAGGATGACCCTGAAAAGCTCTTCTCCGACCTGCGGGAAATTGGCCATGGCAGCTTTGGGGCCGTGTACTTTGTGAGTGAGGCTGGGGCTGGTGGGATGAGGGCGGGAAGTCTGGTCTTCTCCAGAAGCCACCCCCCACCACACTCACACACAGCAGCAGCTCCTAATGGACCACACCAGCCTCTCCTGGGCCAGCAAGCCCTCCTGCCGCCTGAGGCACGCCGGGACCGCCGCCACCTTCTCCTCTGCTCGGTCTCCTAGGCCCGGGACGTCCGCAGCAGTGAGGTTGTGGCTATCAAGAAGATGTCCTACAGCGGGAAGCAGTCCAATGAGGTGGGTCGGCCACACCAGGATCAGCCGGAGGGGCGGGCAGGGGAGCCCCAACATGCAGGCTGAGCGACTGCCTCCTGCCCTCCCCCCAGAAATGGCAGGACATCATCAAGGAGGTGCGGTTCCTGCAGAAGTTGCGGCATCCCAACACCATTCAGTATCGGGGCTGTTACCTGAGGGAGCACACGGCTTGGGTGAGCTGGCCCAGCCCGATCTTTATTCCTGCTCCCCTCCTAGCTTTCTCCTGGTCCAGTCGCGGAGGTGGGTCCTGTTGAGGTTGTTACTGGGGGGCTTGGGGAGGAGAACTTGTGGCCTGCCTTCTCTGCCCCTGAAACATCACCCAGGAGCAGCAGCATTAGTCCACAAGGAGAGGCTGCCCCAACGAGTGACAGGACCTGGGGGTTGGGGGCGGTGGTGACAGAAGAGGACTTTGAGGAGAGTCTCCTGGGAGAGGTGGTGAATAGTCTTGAGCTCTCCCATCATGCCCTCATTTTCGCCAGTACCTGGGGCAGGCGGGCGGGTGGCGGATAAGCAAAGCAGCTCTCAGTGCTGGGTTTCTGGCCAAGGAAGCTGGGCCAGGGGTCTCCAGGAGCCGCTGCCCTCTGACTCTTGGCCCCTCCTCAGCTGGTGATGGAATATTGCTTGGGCTCAGCTTCGGACCTCCTTGAAGGTGAGTGAGCCCTTGGCTACGAAGGGGGAGAAGGTAACAACAGAGCCAAGAAGCCTGAGGGGGGGTGGTTGGTTTGCGCCAGGCAGCGCTGCAGCTTCCCGGGCTCATGCTAGTCTCGACCTCACAGTGCACAAGAAGCCCCTGCAGGAGGTGGAGATCGCAGCTGTGACACACGGAGCCCTTCAGGGCCTGGCTTACCTGCACTCGCACAACATGATCCACAGGTCTCGGGACACGGCTGACGGGGCAGGGGTGGGGGCGTGCTCCAGCCCTTGTCTAGGAGACACCGAGGCCCCTGCCTGACCCTGCACTGTTAACCTGCGGCAGGGACGTGAAGGCTGGAAATATCCTGCTCTCGGAGCCAGGCCTGGTGAAGTTGGGGGACTTTGGCTCCGCATCCATCATGGCGCCTGCCAACTCCTTTGTGGGCACCCCGTACTGGTGAGTCGATGGTGCCCCTGGGAGCAGGGAGTTGGTTGGCCGGGTTCGGGTGGGTGGTGAGCCCCTCTCCTGGCTGCTCTTCCCCAGGATGGCACCAGAAGTGATCCTGGCTATGGACGAGGGGCAGTATGATGGCAAAGTGGATGTCTGGTCCCTGGGGATAACCTGTATCGAGCTGGGTAAGAGTCTCCTCTGCCCCCCACCCCCACCCGGTCCCCATGCCATCCTGTCCTCCTCAGCCTCCCAGCCCTCGTCAAGTTAGTTATCCGCCCTTGATCCCCAGGACAGGACAGGCAGCCATCAAGTCCCGCTAGTGCTTAAACCCAAACCGAAGGTTGTGTAGCATTCATCTCTTTCTGTCCGTTCTCCTGGTTCTCGGTCCTTCGTGCTCACTGCGCTCCAAGCCCCATCGCTGGGCTCGGGGTATCATCAAGGACAGGGCAGACGCAGCCCCTGCTCCATGGAACTGCCACCTGAGTGAGGAGCAAGGCCGTATTTTCTCTCAGGGTGGTGCCAGCCACCTAGAGAGGTTATAGGAGCTGCAGAAATGCCTCACAAAGGACTTGACCGAGTCCAGGGGCTGAGGAAGACCACGCTGGTGGCTCAAAGGAGTGACTAGTGTCAGAACACGAATTGTAAACATCTGAAGACTGTAGAGAGGAGTGTTCCCCATGGAGTGCTTGGCCCCTTCCAAAACCGGTGGGGAAACAGTTAAAGGACATGGCTTCCAAAACCAATTTGGCCGACTGCTCCCCTTTTTAAAAAAAATTGACTCCATGCATTGCCCGTCCCCCCAATTAGAGCTCCTCCTTCAAGATAAAGTGTAGGCATCTGCTTTCGCAGCCCCACCCATCATTCCGTCCTATCTTCTGCACGCTTGGGGAAACCAGTTAGAACCTGGCATGCCGTGCACAAAGCAGGGAGTGCTGAGGCCAGAGAGTTCTGCTGTGAGTTCCTGGGCTCCTGGCAGCCAGGGCAAGCTCCCGTGTGTCAGCCCACAGATGCTCAGTGAGTTGACAGTCTCTGAGGCCCCCAGCACCAGGCTAAGGAAACAGCTACAATTAGTTACTCTTACTACTACTTTCCTGCAGTGGTCCTTTCGACCACCACTCTCTTCCTAACAGGCTCTCCCTCTGGAGCCAGAGCGGTGTCCCTGGGTGCAGTTTTTCTCCTCCACTCAGAGCCGTCGGGGCTCCTTTCCTATTGGACACTGAGCTGTCCCGTCACAAGGTCCACCCTCTGCCAGGGACTGGCCCACTTCACTTCCCTGCCTGAGGTGAAGAACTTGGACGTGGCCTTTCCCTCCGCATGTTCCCCGTCGTCATCCAAGGCAGGGGCCAGATAGGTGGTGGAAGTATGTGAGGGAGGCCAAGGGTTCTAACCAAATAGCCACCATGAGGGAGTTGATTCCAACTCGGCGACCTTACTGGAGAAGAGAACTGCCCTGCTGGTTTACTTGAGCAAACCGCCTTTTTCACCTGCAACGGAGCTGGTGGGTTTGAACCACTGAGTGCTATTAGCAGCTTAGCGCACAACCCCCTACACCCTCCAAACCCATTCCAACTCATGGAGACCCCAACTAGGGCTCCCGAGGCTATAGCCCTTTCCTGGAGCAGATAGCCTCAGCTTTTTCCGACAGGTTGGCTGGTGGGTTTGAACTGCTGACCTTGTGGTTAGCAGCCCAGTGCTTAGGTGCCAGCCCACTACTGTATAGGAATCTGGACTGCAGCTTACCAGATGGGGTTTTTAAAAGAGAAGCCCAAAATGTAGATGGTTGTCCCCAAATAATTATTGTTGGTGACCGACTTTGTTTTTTTAAGTCACTTTGTAGACCAAATGGGGAGCCCTAATGGCATGGTGGGGTAAGCTCACATTGGACAGCTAACTGCTTTCAGTCATTTGAACCCACCAGAAAGACAACCCTCTCTGCTCCCAGCAGGAGCCTCGGAAACCCTGTCCTGTGGGGTCGCTCTGAGTCAGCATCACCCGGATGGCAGTGAATTTGAGTTCACTTAGGCCCAAAGTTTCAATGTGTGATTAAGTTGCAAGGAGCGGCTAGTTTGTGGTTTCTCATCTCAGGTCTAGCTCTACTGGGCCGTTTCCCCAAAGGCCTTCCCTGAACTTCCAGCCAACGTACTGGCCTAAAGACCTGCCCTCACCCTCGCCTTCCGAGCCAGTTATCAATCTCCTGGGGCCAGTTGGACCCCCTGTCAGTACAGTGGGTTGGTTATACGTTGGGTGGGCTGTTCACTGCCAAAGTCTGCGGTTTGAAACCACCGGCTGCTCCTTGGGAGAAATATGAGGCTTTCTATGGCCTCTAAAGAGTTACAGCCTCACTAACCCACAGGGACAGTTCTACTCTGTCCTATGGGTGACTGTGTGTCAATATCAACTCCATGGCAGTGAGTTTGGGAAGGTTACTTGTGATTCAGTTCTGTGGTCTTATTTAGATTGGAGGTTCCATGAGGACAGGCGCTCTTTCCCATGTTTCTTCCCCAAGCCTTCAGCAGTGTCTTGCCTCTTCTTTGGTACCTGAGGAGTGCTAACTGGACCATTAACTGTTCTCTTTCCCACCGTCCTCTTTCACCGGGTTCCCGAATGTGAAACGTGCCTTTTCCATCCAGCACTTCCCCGCCCACTAGTCCTTGCCTTGCTCCTTTCTCCACCCCCCGCCCCTGTGCCGTGGCGAGGAAGAGTGTTGAGCAAAGACTGACCTGAGACTTGGTAGGATTGTGGGCATGGTTCACAGTCATGCACCCAGGAACTAAGGGGGCCGGTGTTTGAAGCCAGCCAGCCCCCCCGTCACCCACCCCCGGCGTCGGTTCTGGTCTCCGCTGCCTCCCTGCCACTTGTCCCCCTGCCCATTCTCTGTAGCGGAGCGGAAACCACCCCTGTTTAACATGAACGCGATGAGTGCCTTATACCACATCGCACAGAATGAGTCCCCCGTGCTCCAGTCAGGACACTGGTGAGACGGGGTCCAGGCGTGGGGGTGGCGGTGGGGGATGCCAGAGGCGAGGGCCGGGCATGAGGTAAGACTTCACAGTCATGCTCTGCCTCTCCTACACTGTGACTTCCAGGTCTGAGTACTTCCGGAATTTTGTCGATTCTTGTCTCCAGAAAATCCCTCAAGATAGGCCAACCTCAGAGGTGCTACTGAAGGTAAGGGCCCCCAGCCCTCGTGAGAGCCACCCAAGAGCCACCCACGCCCGGGACGGAGCTGGTGTCCGTTGCTCTCACGTCACTTCCAACTCGGGGGGTGCGTGCGACTGCTCCCGAGGTTTCTGAGGCCTGTCTCCCAAGGGGGCTTCTAGCTAGGTCCAAACTATCTCGTAGTGACCAGGCGTGGAACACTTACCTGCCTCTCAACGCCATTGAAAAGGGGGCGCCTTTCAGCGAGACGAGTGGTTCTCGATTCTCCCTCCGCCAATGACTTCCCTCCCACCCCAGGGCCCAGTGGACTCTGTTTGCTTAGATTTGGGTCTACCAGACTGCCCCGGTATGTTCATTGCTTCCCTGACCCTGGCCGGTCACAGCTGTGTATAAAGACCAAGCCAGAGCTGCTGGTCAGTGTGAGGTCACCAGGGTGGTCTGAGGAGATTGGCCTGCCCCTGGGTGACTGGGCTTTCCCTTCGGTGTGTTGGGAGCAGTCACAAATAGAGGGAGGGACTCCCCGTCACCTGCTGAGCTCCAGGGGATGTAAGATGCTCAGATGGCTTGGTTTGACCTTTATTGCGGGGATACCTGCCCTGGTGAGGCCCACCAAGGCCACGTGGACCCTTCCAAGGTCACAGGGCACCTCGTCAGAGGACCTGGGCTCTCCTTGTTCTTGCTGGTCAGCCACAGATGGAGGAACCAGGGACTGTCTGGGAACACAAATGTGGGCGGGGGAAGAGGTGTTGGGACAAGGTCAGTGTCCGCCCATAGTAGGCTAGGGCCCAGGGAAGTGCCTCGGGCCCCAGATGGTGCTGGGTTCCATGGGGCATGGGCAGGGCAGAGGTTGGGTGCTGGGCGGCAGGCCTCAGTGTCCCCCTTCCTCCAGCATCGCTTTGTGCTCCGGGAACGGCCGCCCACTGTCATCATGGACCTGATCCAGCGGACCAAGGATGCTGTGCGCGAGCTGGACAACCTGCAGTACCGCAAGATGAAGAAGATCCTGTTCCAGGAGGCCCCCAATGGCCCCGGGGCTGAGGCTCCAGAGGAGGAGGAGGTGACCTGTCTTATAAGCACCCCCCACCCCACAACCCCGCCTGCTTCCCTCTGGACCCACCCCTCGTTCTTCCCTTTCCTGGCCCAGCAGCCCTCGCCCTCTCCACAGGAGGCAGAGCCCTACATGCACCGGGCTGGGACACTGACCAGTCTGGAGAGCAGCCACTCCGTGCCCAGCATGTCTATCAGCGCCTCCAGCCAGAGCAGCTCGGTCAACAGTCTTGCAGATGCCTCAGACAACGAGGAGGAGGAGGAAGAAGAAGAAGAGGAGGAAGAGGAGGAAGAGGAAGGCCCTGAGGCCCGGGAGATGGCCATGATGCAGGAGGGCGAGCACACGGTCACCTCCCACAGCTCCATCATCCACCGGCTGCCGGTATGCAGCTCCCCCTGGGCTGGATCTGGTGCAGGCAAAAAGCCACACCCATGCTCACCTCTCAGGAGTCCCTTGGGCTCCCCCGCCCTCCACCTTTCTGCTAACTGGGTCTCCTCAGGTGACCAGCTCCCTGTCTGCCAGGCCTCTGCACCCGAGGCAGCCCTTCTGCCTTCCCTCCTCTAGGGCTCTGACAACCTGTATGATGACCCCTACCAGCCAGAGATGAGCCCAGGCCCTCTCCCACCACCTGCAGCCCCAGCGCCTACCTCCACCACCTCTTCTGCCCGCCGCCGGGCCTACTGCCGCAACCGGGACCACTTTGCCACCATCCGAACAGCCTCTCTGGTAAGTGTGAGCAGCCTCACCCCCCTCCTGCTTGCCGTCCTTCTTCCACCACGTCAGAATGTCCCTGAGATTCCTCCGGAGTCCTGACTTGACGTTCTTCCTTCTGTCCCAGCGTGATTCCTGACTTGACATTCTTCCTTCTGTCCCAGCGTGATGTGCAGGTGTGCCCTCCCCTGTCAATACGAGCCTTCTCCTCACCGTTTTGTCCACATCCCCACCCCCAAATTGTTTGGGTCACATCGCCCTACCTTTGTGTGGTCCGCTTTAAGGATCCGGGGGCCAACCCAGGCTCCTCGGTCAGTTGGCTGCTTTGTAGCCCTGCACTCAGATCCCTTTGGCTTGTACTGGGCTCCTGAGGACGCCTAGTAAGACTGCTAGGGTCCGTGCCCCTAGAGGGCAGCGCAGGGCCCAGGCCGGGGTGTCCTGGGAGGTGGCCTGGATGACTGCATACCCAGGGCCTTTGGCAGTTCTCCTAAATTCAAGTCAGGGCTGTGTCAGTTCCGCAGAAAAAGAAGGGAGTTGGTTTTCACTGCTGCTCAGCTCCATTTCAGTACCAGCTGTCTTCTGAGGGGCGTCCTGGTGGCAGAGTAGGAGACGGACGCACTGGGCTCCTAATCACAGGGGTCAGCGCTCTGGAACCAGCAGGGGCCCAAGACAGGGCCTTCTCCTCCCTTGAAGAATCACAGTCTCCAAAACCTACAGGGTGTGGGATCCAGCCCACAGCCGGGTGGGTCCTAAGGGACAGTTGGGTCATTGAAGGGAAGACATCATGAGGCAGACCAAAGTTTGGGGGTGCTCACTTCCATGGTGTCACAAACCAGGACCAGACAGGGCGAGAAAATGTATTCTTCCATCAATTTACACAGCCTTGTGCATGCAAGCCCCCCTAATTACAGGTAACCGCATATGGAACGAAGTGGGCAGTCCCTTAACTGTAGAGGTCCCTGGGTTCGTAGGAGTAACGTACCACCAGTACTGGGGGCAACAGTGACTGTCCGCTGAGCAGGCAGAGCAACAGCAACCTGTCTGCTCCTGCAGATGAAGCTGCCGGCGAGGCAGCCCTCAGCCCTGTGCTTGGGAGAGGTCACTCTAAGGCAGCACTGTGGCGGGAGGATCTTGTACTTACGAGAACGTGATCGGGACTCCTCTCTGAGTCACAGGCTTCTGAAACATGAGAAGAGCGTCCGTCCGCATGCGCTCTCTTCCCGTCCCTCAGTGCCCGCACGGGTCAATTCTGCCCTGTCCTGTGGGGTTGCTGTGACTCGGTACCGACTCGATGGTGACTTGGGGGGTTTCGAGGCCGTGGTTGGGTCTGTCTGTAGTTGCCGTGGAGTTGGTCCCCACTCGCAGTGGCCCATGTACAACAGGGTGAAACACTGCCCAGCCCGGCACCATCCTCGAGCCGGGCTGGGGGTGTGCCCATTGTTGCAGCCACTGGTCAGTCCAGCTCATTGACTGTGTTCCTCTTTTTCGCTGACCCTCCACTTGACCAAGTTTGGTCTCTTAACAACCGGCCAAGTATGCGAGACAAAATCTCGCCCACCTTTTGTCTAAGGCGCATTCTGGCCGCCGCACTTCTTCCACAACAACTATGTTTGCTTTTCCGGTAGTCCGAGGTGCTTCCAGCACCGCTGTGCAGAGGCAGTGATCCGACTTCAGTCCGCCTTGGCCAGCTTTCTCATGCGTATGAAGCCATGGGAAATAGGAGGGCTCGGATCAGGTGCCCCTTATTGCTCAAAGTGACATCTCTGCTTTGGGATACTTTTAAGGTCCTTGGCAGCAGCCGATTGGTTCAGTGCACTACGTCCTTTGATGTCTTGACCACCTCTTCCGCGGCCACAGAGGGGGGGCTCCAAGTCCAGAGAGACCCTTAGCACCATCCGTCTTCTCCATCCTGCCCTGGTGCGCACCCCGAGGGCGGCCACTCACCACCACCAGCCGCTCCCCGGGAGATAGGAGGCCTTCTGCTCCCATGGAGGGACAGCCCCACCCTCTCCTATGGGGTTGCTCCCCAGCAGAGCTGACTTCAGCAGTGAGTGGCTTGTGAGGTTGCTTCCTGGTCCAGTTGGGAGGCTTTTGTTTGCTTTGGGCTGAGGTGTGACCCAGAGGGAATACCGTCCTCTCTGATCTTAAGCAGCAAGTGTTTTGTGTCTTCTTCACCTTCCAGCAAGCACAAGAGAGCTAGCTGCATCCTGTCTGTGTGTGTGTGTGCACACGCGCACATGCGGTGGCCTCTGCTGGGGTGGCTTTTCCAGTCTTGTCATGCTTGGTGCATTGAGGTCCTGGACAGAGAGGCCTGTGACTTCCAGAGACCTACTGACAGTTGGGTGAGCCTGGGTGAGGACACCCAGACAGACACCCTGCTCTGGCATCTCGGCACTGCTGAAGGAGGGTGCCCAGAGGTGCAGTGGGGTAAGCAGTCGGTGGCTGGCTCTGCGGGAGGGCGATGGGGCAGTCTGCTGCTGCACAGGTAGACAGCCTGGGAAATCTCAGGGAGCACTTGTCCTCTGTGTGTCTGAAGCAACTAGGCTGCGGTGGGGGGCTGGCGTGGGGTAGAAGCCTGTGGTCACTAGCTCCGAGAGCGCCCCAGACACTGGATGCATATCGGTTCCCTGGCCTGCGTAGCCCTTCTGGGAAGACATGAGTGCCTGCTGAGTCAGATGAAGGGATCGGGGCTTGGCTGGTGACTTTTGATCAAGTCTCACCAGTTCCTACTTTTGTGGGAGACTTATTGGTGGGCCGGTGCCTTTGCCATTTGGTTGCACCAGCCTGTGCCGTTGTCAGAATCCATCCAAATTGTCCAGTCGAGTAGGGAGGCTTTGGGTCAGTGTTTGCGTTGTGCTCACATGGTAAGGAAAGTGCCAGATGGCGTTGACATTGTTCTCTGCCTGCGTCCAAAACAGAGGTTCTTGGCGCAGGACAACGGTGGCATGGTTGGAGGGGACAGAGGGCTGAACCCATCCTCCCCACCCCCCAGGTGAGCCGTCAGATCCAGGAGCATGAGCAGGACTCAGCCCTCCGGGAGCAGCTGAGCGGCTATAAGCGGATGCGGCGGCAGCACCAGAAGCAGCTGTTGGCCCTGGAGTCCCGGCTGCGGGGCGAGCGGGAGGAGCATGGCGCGCGTCTGCAGCGGGAGCTCGAGGCCCAGAGGGCAGGCTTTGGGGCGGAGGCCGAGAAGCTGTCCCGCCGGCACCAGGCCATTGGCGAGAAGGAGGCGCGGGCTGCCCAGACGGAGGAGCGCAAGTTCCAGCAGCACATTCTCGGGCAGCAGAAGAAGGAGCTGGCCGCCCTGCTGGAGGCACAGAAGCGCACCTACAAGCTTCGCAAGGAGCAGCTGAAGGAGGTGGGGCCCTGGCGGGCGGTGGTGGGGAGCCAGTCCGGCCCTGACCACTCTTCCTCTCCCTGACCTCGGCTCACCTGCTGTCCCAGCAGGAGCTCCAGGAGAACCCCAGCACCCCGAAGCGGGAAAAGGCCGAGTGGCTGCTACGGCAGAAGGAGCAGCTCCAGCAGTGCCAGGCGGAGGAGGAGGCGGGGTTGCTGCGGCGGCAGCGCCAGTACTTTGAGCTGCAGTGTCGCCAGTACAAACGCAAGATGCTGCTGGCTCGCCACAGCCTGGACCAAGACCTGCTGCGGGAGGTAGGCCCCTCCCGCTCTCCCTGCCGCCTCTGCCCTCTTTGCCCTCCATTCTCATTTGGATTTTGCCTTTTTCACTTTGGCACTCCTGCCCACCCGGACCCTGGTAGTGTTTCCCTAGATCCCTGTTCTCACGCTAGCCAGCTTACCCCGTGCCCTCTCCTCTCTCCCCCTCCCCACGGCATCCTCCGGCTGCCATGTTCTGACAGGGGCTCCGGGCCCTCCGTCTTCCCTCAGGACTTGAACAAGAAGCAGACTCAGAAGGACTTGGAGTGTGCCCTGCTGCTGCGGCAGCACGAGGCCACCCGGGAGCTGGAGCTCCGGCAGCTCCAGGCCGTGCAGCGCACGCGGGCCGAGCTCACGCGCCTGCAGCACCAGACGGAGCTGGGCAACCAGCTGGAGTACAACAAGCGGCGGGAGCAGGAGTTGCGGCAGAAGCACGCGGCCCAGGTCCGCCAGCAGCCCAAGAGCCTCAAAGTACGTGCCGGCCAGCGCCCCCCGGGCCTTCCGCCCCTCATTCCCGGGGCTCTGGGACCACCCCGCACAGGCACCCCTAGAGACAAGCAGCCCTGCCCACCTGGTCAGGAGGCAGTCCTGGACCAAAGGATGCTGGGGAAGGAGGAGAAGGAAGCAGTTGCAGAGAGAAGGATTCTGGGAAAGGAAGGGGCCACCTTGGAGCCAGAGGAGCGGAGGATTGTGGGGGAAGAATCAGGAACCCCTAGTCCCAATCCACAAGATTGTAGGGGTCTGCCTGATGAGGAAGCTTGGGATCTACCCAGGGAGGAGGTGGAGGAGCTTAGAGTCCCGTCCCTGGCACCCCAGGAGAGGAGCATCGTGGGCCAAGAGGAGGCGGGGCCGTGGAAGCTGTGGGGGAAGGAGGTGGAGGGCCTCCTGGATGAGGAGTTTGAACTTGGCTGGGTTCAGACCCCACCTCTGACCCCAGTGCCTGAGGAGGAGGAGGAAGAGGAGGAGGGAGCTCCAATTGGAACCCCAAGGGATCCTGGGGATGGCTGTCCCTCCCCAGACATCCCCCCCGAACCTCCTCCATTTTATCTGAGGCCCGGGCTTGCCAGCCAACTCCCTGGCCACCTGTCCCACGGCCTCCTGGCCGGCCTCTCCTTCGCAGTGGGTTCCTCCACCGGCCTTTTGCCTCTGCTGCTGCTGCTGCTCCCACTACTAGCAGCCCAGGGTGGGGGTGGCCTGCAGGCAGCCCTGCTGGCCCTTGAGGTGGGGTTGGTGGGCCTGGGAGCCTCCTACCTGCTGCTCTGTACAGCTCTGCACCTGCCTCCCAACCTGTTCCTGCTGCTGGCTCAGGGCACCGCCCTCGGGGCTGTCTTGGGCCTAAGCTGGCGCCGGGGCCTTGTTGGTGTGCCTCTGGGTCTTGGGGCTGCCTGGCTTCTAGCCTGGCCGGGCCTGGTGCTGCCCCTGGCGGCTGTAGCAGCTGGGCGCAAGTGGGTGCAGCAGCAGGGTCCCAGGTTGCGCCGGGGCATCTCTCGACTCTGGTTGCGGGCTCTGCTGCGCCTCTCGCCCCTGGCCTTCCGGGCCCTGCAGGGGTGTGGGGCGGTGGGGGACCGTGGCCTGTTTGCACTCTACCCTAAGACCAATAAGGATGGCTTCCGCAGCCGTCTCCCTGTTCCCGGGCCCCGGCGGGGTAGTCCCCGTGCTGCCCAGCACCCACTGGCCCTTTTGGCCAGATTCTGGGCCCTATGCAAGGGCTGGAACTGGCACCTGGCACGGGCCAGCCAAAGCCTAGCCTCCTGCCTGCCCCCCTGGGCTCTCCACACACTGGCCAGCTGGGGCCTGCTTCGGGGTGAACGGCCCAGCCGAATCCCCCGCCTGCTGCCCCGAAGCCAGCGCCGACTGGGGACCCCTGCCTCTCACCACCTGCCTCCAGGGACTGTAGCCGGGCGGAGACCCCGAGCCCGCCAATCCCGGGCCCTCCCTCCCTGGAGGTGACCCACTCTCGGCTGGCCGTGGCCCAGACCCAGAGCATTGAGCACTTTACCCCACACCCCTCAGTGAGGTTTCTCCAGCCCGCCCCCCACCCCACCGGAGCTCCAGGCAGGGGTCCATTGGTCCATTGGTCTCCGCCTGCCACCCGTCCTGCCCCTAAGTTATTGCTGTCCTCCCGCTGTGTGTGCACATCCTCACCCTCATCAGCTCGGGCCTGGGCCTTGGCGGGTTGGGGTGGGGGGTGTGTGTGACAGTCGGCCGTTTTTGGGGGTTTTTTTTCTCCTCTTTGATTTTGTTTTTCTGTCTCCCTTCCAACCTGTCCCCTCCCCCCTCCCCTACCAAAAAAGAAAAAGACAAACACAAATAAAAGATCTGAGCGGAACTGTACCTTCGGCCCAGGCTGCCTCTGTCTGCTTTGTCCTGCCGCCTAGCCTCCCCGGTGTGCCCCCAAATCTGGACCCTTGATACCCACTCCCAGTTCCATGACCTCTTCACTGCCATCTACGTCATCTTAACCCCTTTCCCAGCCTCAGCCTCTCCACCTTTGTCGTGTCACAGCACGACGACCACCCCCAGCCCTGAGCTTCCCCAGACCACCCCCAGCCCAGTTGATAGGGTCCTTGCAGAGTGAGCTCCTCGGTTCCGTCCTTTACCCTCTCAGCCCCGGCCTCTTCACCCAGCCATGCCTCCCTGGTTCCCTTCTGTCTGGGAGCCGTCCTTCTCTCCTGGGGTCGAGCATTGCCCCAGAGGGTGTGGAGTGAGACAGCCAGCCCTCCACGACTGGGGGGGTGGGGCACGGGGGCCAGGCAGAGAGCTGGGGAACGGTGGGAATGGGGTGGGTTGTGGGCTCGGGTGGGTGCTGAGTGTGGGATCTGGTCTCACGGGCAGCTGCTGCCTCTGAGCTCGTCAGGCCATCTGGCCGTCTCTTTTGCCCAAGGTGGGGCAACCTCCCTCTTACCTGTCTTTGAGCTCCGTTCTTCCCCTCCTCCCTCCCCTCCTCCTTGAGGTGCCCCTCCCGGGACTCCATCTGTCATCTTTTCTGGTTGTGTCGCCTTCTTCCACGGTGTCTGTGTGACGTGGTCTTCTCGCTCGGGTGCAGTCTTCTGCGGGCCCGCCTTTCCATCTCTAGGCCCCTTTCTTCCTCGGCACGGTCTGAGCTGCTCGTGTGCACTCTGTATTCTGTGCCGATCCTCAGCCTCCCTCTCTGTGAACACGTGCTCCAAAGCTCATCTTGTGGGGTCATCCCCCCACCCCCACGCTCCCGGAACCTGTCCTGTTCACTCTGTGTCTCTTGCCCGAGAGCCTTCTGATCTGTCTACGCTCCCTCCCCATCTTCACGTCTGTCTGTATACAGCTCGCCCCGCCCCCTCTGTCTAACATGTTTTCTGTTTCTCTCCCGCTCCCTGTCTCTGCTTCTGTCTCCTCTCCTCCTCTTCCACCTCCTCCTCCTCCTCTCTCTTCTCCCTCTCTCCCCTGGTTGTTTCTCCTCCTCTTCCTCTCCTTCCTTCTCCCCCCTCCCCCACCCCCATCTCCCTTCGATCCATCCACTGCGCAGTCTAAGGAGCTGCAGATCAAGAAGCAGTTCCAGGAGACGTGCAAGATCCAGACTCGGCAGTACAAGGCTCTGCGGGCGCACTTGCTGGAGACCACGGCTAAAGCTCAGCACAAGAGCCTCCTTAAGCGGCTCAAGGAGGAGCAGACCCGCAAGCTGGCGATCCTGGCCGAGCAGTATGACCAGTCCATCTCGGAGATGCTCAGCTCACAGGCGGTGAGGCCCGGGTCTAGGCAGGGAGCATGGGGCAGCCAGCGCTGTGGATGGCCTTGTGGTAGGGGTTGGAGGCAGGGTGATGACCGCTATGGGACCTTCTGTAGGGAGGAAGCTTTCTCTCGGGCGGGGCGTGTCTGTCTCCTAGTCTTGTCTTAGTATGGACAGGACCAGGCTGCCTGCTCTTCCAGGCACAGCGGCCGGCCGGCGGCCCTGCTCTGTCACTGGGCTCGAGTTAGTGGAATGTGTCCACGGGGAGCGGGGCCGTGGGGCCATTCTCCCAAACCAGGAGGATTTTGAAGCCTGCCAGCACTAGAGCCGCCCACGTAGGAGTCCACCCAGCCTGGCAAAGGGTCCTCTTTCTTTCGCCTCAAGGGCAGCTCTTAGTACTGATGGCTGCCCAGTACACATTTGGAAAATTCTAGAAAGCTGTTCAACAGAAACAGGAGCCTACTTGACAAACCCTTTCCCAACTCGAGTTTTCGGCCTGTCCGTGGCGGAGAGGCAGTGGTGGTGCGGGTGCCCCTGGTTTGTTTACCACCCTCACTGGCGGTCGTCGAGGTCCCGCCCACCTTTGGCCTCTTGCCCTTCCTCTGTGAGCGCCTCTAAGGCACACGTGCAAGTGCACCTGGGGGACAAACCCCTACAAGTGTCACTGCCGTGTGACCCGGTGTAACCATCTTTCCTTCTGGCAGGTGGCCTGCTGCTGTTCGTGACCCCAGGGCCCGGGCCTGCCTGGGGAAGGGAGGGCCGTGGGGGCTGTGGGGAGGCCTCTCACCCATGCGCTTCATTTCTGCTAGCTGCGGCTCGACGAGACCCAGGAGGCAGAGTTCCAGGCCCTCCGGCAGCAGCTTCAGCAGGAGCTGGAGCTGCTCAATGCTTACCAGAGCAAGATCAAGATCCGCACGGAGAGCCAGCACGAGCGGGAGCTGCGGGAGCTGGAGCAGCGGGTGGCTCTCCGGCGGGCGCTGCTAGAGCAGCGGGTAAGCTGGCCCGGCCTCCAGGATGGTGGGGAGGGCAGGCTCCCACCTCATCCCACCCTCGCTAACCTCTGTTCTGGGTGTCCCAGGTGGAAGAGGAGCTGCTGGCCCTGCAGACAGGGCGCTCCGAGCGGATCCGGAGCTTGCTTGAGCGGCAGGCCCGTGAGATCGAGGCGTTCGATGCTGAGAGCATGAGGCTGGGCTTCTCCAGCATGGCTCTCGGGGGCATTCCAGCCGAGGCTGCTGCCCAGGGCTACCCTGCACCACCCCCGGCCCCAGCTTGGCCCTCGAGGCCTGTTCCCCGCTCAGGGGCACACTGGAGCCATGGCCCTCCTCCACCAGGCATGCCCCCTCCTGCCTGGCGCCAGCCCACTCTGCTCGCTCCCCCTGGCCCTCCAAACTGGATGGGGCCCCAAGCGCAGAGTGGGACACCCCGCGGCGGAGCCCTGCTGCTGCTCAGAAACAGTCCCCAGCCCCTCCGGCGGGCTGCCTCAGGGGGCAGCAGCAGCGAGAGCATGGGCCCTCCTGCTGCTGCCGTGCCAGGGCCCCTGAGCCGCAGCACCAGTGTGGCTTCCCACATCCTCAACGGCTCCTCACACTTCTACTCTTGAAGTGCAGGGTGGATGCACGGAGGAGCTGGACTGGGGTGGGTGGAGCCTGATCCTGGAGGGGCAGTAAGCTTGAGGCCCACCCAAGGGTTGGGGACAGGATATCGGCTCCCGTTCCCTTCAAACCTCATCTCATGAGCTTCTTGGGGCTGGTCAGTGGCCCAGGGCCAGCGTGGGCACAAGTGCCTCCAGGCTGACCAGGAGCCCCTGCCTCCCCACCATGGTGCCAGGGTCTCCCTCCAGCAGTCTAGGGAAAGGAGGGAGATGTGTGTGTCAAATATTCATCTAGTCCCCTGGGGGAGGGGAAGGGTGGGTCTCGATATATTCCGAAAACCATATTAATCCCTGCAGTGGGACTGCGGACTGGGGGTGCCAGGGCCCCCAGACCTGGGGCGGGGAGGACAGAAGGAGGTGGTCTTCTGAGGAGAGGAGCATCAGGATGGGATCTCAGGAGGCAGGTTGCCCGGGTCTCTCCACTCCCGTTTGTCTCAAGTCCTGTGCCGTCTTGTCCTTTTTTTTTTTTTTAATTGGGGGTCAGGGCTGGGCCAGGGGGACAAGGGAAGGACCTTGGAAGGTGGCTGCTCCCAGGCATGGGGGCGGCTAGGGGAGCCCCTCTCAGTTTACGGGGCTGGCACAGAACCCCAGTGCAAGCTTTTAATAAACTGTTGGTTATTCTAACAGACCCCAGGACTCACCCTTTCTGTCTGAGATGTGTTACCGTGGGCAACTGCAAGCAAGCGTTAGTTTGCTATCTGCTGGACCCAGGCTCAAAGCCCAGCACCTGCCTCTCGGCCTCTCCATTCCCCTGCTCCAGCTTGGGACATTGTCGGAAGGTTCCCTTTAGCCTGGACACCAAGCTGCCACATTAGTCAGCAGCCTCCACAGGGAGGTCCCGGCAGAGGCCTGAGGGGTGACCTTCTTGGCTCATCGGTAGCCAGAGGCAAGGGGTCAGGCCTGGGTCCTGCTGTGTTCATCAGCTCTGACTCCCAACCACCCCACTGGACAGAGTAGACCCCCCACCACCACCACCCCTCCGGGCACGTATCATCAGTGGAGCAGATCGCCAGGGAGAATAAAGCTCAGAGCTATGGGTGGGGCCAAACTACCAACCACCTCCCCTGGACCAGTGCTTTTAACTGGTGTGTCGCCTGGTCCAAACCCTGTGCCCACCCTTCTCGGCTGGCTGGAGAGCTAGCCCAGGTACGCCATGACTTTCCACACGTCCTTTGGGCTTCTGCTCGGCACTAGGTTATCAAGACACTGCTCAGTCGGGTAGCTGGAGGAGAGCAGGCAGCTGGGCCCTTCACGGGTGGGGTGCAGAGGCAGGGACTTGGTTGGCGAGAACCTCTGAGGATGAGAAAGCCAGGTAGGAAGCAGAGGCCCCTGGCCCGAGGTCAAAACAATCAACGTTGAGCAGAGAACCAGTTTGGATGTGGCTGCCTGAAACGTCGCTTTATTGAATCTTTAAAAACAAAACCCTAAAGCAGACAGTGAAGCTGGGAAGTAGGGTCCCGACCACTTGTGTCTCTGGGCATGACTGCAGGTCTTCAGAGCACGCAGGCTTCCCCGTTGCATGCACAGAACATGGCCTGTATGTGCTTTGTCCATGGGGCCAGGGTCCCTCCCTAGGCGAGGGGTGCTCAGGTACTGTCGCCATCGCTGCTGATGATGCCGCGTAGGTGTGACCAGTCAGGGGGCGGGCGGTGGGGCCGCTCGTCCTCGGAGTCCAGGGTCCTGCAGTAAGGCTCCTTCAAGGGGGCGCTTTCTCCTGAAGGGTTCCAGGCGGTGCGGCGGCGGGGCCGGCCTGGGGAAGGAAGGAACCTTTGTCAGAAAGGCCAAGCCCCATCTGGGGGAGTGAGGGGAAGCCCCTTACCTGAGCTGTTTATGATGTTGGTGACATCCAAGGAAGCTACCTCAGCAGCCTCTTCCCGCTGCTCCTTCAGGGCCCGGCACTTCACCATGGAAGGGTTCCCTGGGGCAGAAGGGGCATGTGGGTGGACATCCCCTCCCCAGCCAACAGCAGTAGCCCTCTCTTACCACCTGCCACCAGGGCGTAGCTGCCTCACCCTTCATGCCCAGGGCCTCCAGCTCTGCCCGGAGGACTTTCAGGCACTCCTTGTGCGAACGGCAGGAGCCCAGCAGCTTCTTGTAGTTACGATAGGCCCCACAGGCCCGGATGTAGCGCTTCAGCCTCTGCACAGCTGGATGGTCCTCACTGCGACGACCAGTGACC